AAAAAAAAACTGGTTGGGCTGAACAGAAATAAAAAAAAAATTTGGAAACTCTTACTGCCCTAAAAAAAAAAAGGAATGCAGGACTGGCTTTCACCATGTGAGGGAACACCTCTGAAGAAATGATGCACTCCTACCTCAAGCTAATTGGTCTTTTAGGGCAACCTATTTACCATGAAAAACATTTTATGAGTATGAGTTAAATACATGGTGAAGTCAAATTTCACATGAGTCACAACAGCTGTGTGCACATAGTTATGAGATAAAGCAAATATTTCAGAAAGGATTAAGCTCAGTCTTATTACTTTACATTTGCCATGGGCTAAGAGCATGTTTATGGTCATCTGTGGAAATTCAAGTGGCATTGTAGTTTGATGGTCTTGAATCAATTGTCATCAAGCTGTGATGATGTGATAATGTACATCATCACAGAGGAGAGAGTTATGATGTTTCTGTTCATTGACTTAATATTAAGAAACACTTTATTGCTGTAAACCTTATTGGTGAAGGAACAGGAGAGCTCCAACCAGACTTCTTCACTGTAACATCCTTCTTCCACAGTAAAACTCTGCTGTTGTGGAACTCTCATTTCAGCAGGTGCCATTTGCTGCAGTCAGTATGACACATGTATTTAACCAGGTAACCACTGCCACTGTCTTTAATACAAATGGCTGGGAGGAACGAGCATAGATGGTAGTGAAGTATGAAAAATGTGGAGCCAGGTGTGACCCACATTCTCCAGGCTATGAAGGACAAAACCCAAGAGTCTTTGAACAGTTGGTACAAGGCTGGGAGAACAAATTCAAAAAACACGGTGACACCTTGTCTAAAAATAAAGTGAGAAAAACAAAACCGTCCCTAGAATCCCACAAATAAATAAAGAGAGATTCTCAAGAAAGAATAATCAAAACAAGTGGATTTGCTGCTTCTGGAGAGTGGGAGAGTGGAAGCGGGGATGTTTTCGTGCTGATCCAAGCGTGGGGGGTATGAGTGACTGGCTGAACATCATGTGGAAATTTAATTTCAGCCAGTCTAAATTGGCTGAATTGGTCAGCGAAGCAATGGCTGTCATTTTGCACTGTGCTACTGTTGACTTTTTCTATGTTATCATGAAGTTTTATCTCAAAATAAGGAGGTGGATTTGGAGACTGTGTATTTAGAACAGCACCTATACAGTGAAGGGAGATGTAATTCAGCTGTTGCTGGCACTGAAATCAAATACAGCAGATTTCCTACAAATGCCTGAAACGATTCAGAGATCATTAGTTACACCATTACACAGCAGATGCTCTGGTGAATTATGTCTTATTACCTGTAATAACACCTGCAGTAGACAGTACATTTTCTATTCCATACCTTAAACTGTAACAATTGGTTGGTTAAAGATTCTAAAAAACATATATATCCTTCCAACTTTAGCAATTGGCGGCTTTGAGATTTTATGACTCTAAGACTGTCTTATCACCTTGTAACAGTCATCAGGGGATAAATAGGAATGTGGTCATCATTTTTGAACCTTAAAATGTTGGGGAAATAAACTCTGACTTTTGATAATTAATTTCACCTGTAAAAATGTGTTTCCTTTTTCATAATGAAATTACCTGACAATGTCATGACAGTTTACTTTGACTGCTATGCTTTCCTACTCAGTCAATTACACAACTCATAATTTTCTATACCTAAATAAATTCTGCCTCTCCATTTGTCTCTTCCCAACCTAGAAGAATATTAGTCTATATAATTCCAATCCAGTCTCCATGTCCTTACATGGATTTAAAATCCAAAAAATAAATTTAAAAATTCTATATTTTCATGCTCAACTTTCTCTTCACTCTGTAAAAATCAGTAAAACCTTTTTGAGATGTAGAGGATGCAAATTAAAATTGCATACCCCACTTGAGGCCACAGTAGGGATTTATACATCTGCAAATGATGCTTTCTCTTCTTTTCTGTTGCTTTTTGAAGACTGTTGACATCCTATTTGCCTTCTTGCCACAGTTTACAGTTTCACCTCTTATGATTACATATATCCTTCCTCAGTTGCAAACAGACCAAATTTATGGAACACTGTTGTTTGTGCATTCTTAGGACCATTTCCCCTTCCAATTAATTATTTGGTTTTTATTTAGAGACCTGAATTTTTTTTTGATTTTTTGTCAACTATATACACACTACCAACAAGAAATTTCTGCAGTGTTTCTTGTTCAAACCTAATTTTTCAGCAACCTGAAGAATTCTGTACTGTCAACACATATTGTCATCTATTTCTCTTCAGCCCTTTTTTCACATCACTGATGAAAATATGAGAGCACATGTCCAAAAAGTGATCCCTGGGGGACTCCATTCCCTGCATTTCCCTCGTTAGCTTTTCAAAAATTGTTTATTTGGAACCCCTAATTTCTCTGGCAAAAAGGGAAACATAAACAGCAGCCCAGAGTTACTCAGCAGCTTCATCTTTGGTTTCCTATAAAAATCTTGAGTAAATGCCTCTTCTGATCTGTTAATCCACAATTTACTAGCTTGTTTTAAAAATTATGCTGGCATCTCAAATCAAAATAGTTTCTCAGTGGCCTGCCACAAAGTACATTTACCTTCCAGGCACAAATGCAGGAAATCTACCGGTGCAACGTAAAGACACTCAACAAAGAAAGGCAATAGGTGAAATTCAAAGAGAATGGATATTTTTACCAAAGAGTTTTACAAGTCTAGGATTTCATCAACTTCTTGGAAACCAAAAGCACAGTCAGGATATGCAACTTTTGTGTGTTGATCCTCTGCTTAGCTGGTTTCCAGTAAGATACTGCAGCAAGAGAATTCCTTGAAGCAAGATTTTGATGCCAAAGAAGTCCACAGGAGTGATGGCAATGCAGCAAAGTCAGCTTTAAGTACAATACCTCTTGGATTCCATTTTCCCATTATCCATAGTATTTCAAAACTCTCCCCTAATGAAGAACCCCTTCCAAAATGCCTTCAGATTTTCAAATGGAGAAATCAACTCTGACAATAAATCTGAGAGTGCTATTAGAAAGGACATAAGTATAAAATACTGAATATAAGGGACACACAATTTTAATTGAAATAGCTTGCTCTAAGAATAACATAAACTCATCTTTAAGTCTATTAAATACACTTCTGGCAACACCTTTACAAGCAATAGTTACAAAATATATTTTCATTAGCAAATAAAAAATGATAGCTATGCAATAGCATGAATAATTCTTAAATATTTGCTCATACTATTGTTAAAATTAGGAGATAATTTTTCATTGTATTTAGGTCCTGCAGACCTTGGAATTGTGCTAATTGGCATGAGCCAAATGTGCATCAAGAGGAGAGTGAAGAATTGAACAGCGTAGAGTGCCACAGTACCAAACCTGTGTGCTGATTGTAACTCCCCAGAAAAGAGGTAACCAGGTATTCTGGGTGAGTGAAGCTGTATCAAGCTCCAAAAAATCATGTTTGCATGAAAATCTTTTCTACAGAGACAACAAGCTCTAGTTAAATATTCTCCTGCTATTACAACCACTTCCAATATAGCTGCAGTAGGTACAGATAGGTATATCCTTGAAATAAAACTACTGGGAGAACAATAAAGTCTTTATCTTTAAATATAAGTTCCCTCCCAGTAATAACATCTGATCCAGAGGTGGATGTAGC